GACCTAGGAAGGAAGGTTAAAAACAACTGGGCACGTCTGTCTACAGACGGTTGAGGTGGGAACCCGCTGACAGTCTTCCAATGGCTGAAGGGCCGTTCTGAGGAGGCCGGGGATCCATTGTTCTCCGTGGACGGTGGGACCAGACATCCAGGGGCTTATCCCGCAGCAAGGGAGAGCGAAGTTGGACATTAGGAGAAACTCCCGAACTCGCGGGGGAGTTGAGCATCCAAGGGAGGTTGGGGAAGCCCCAACGTTGGCGGTTTGGAAGACCCGGTTCGACAAAGACCCATCAGGGCTGGGCTCAGGTTACTTGGTCCTGCCTCAGCACCGGCGGGGCTGGAGTCGGTCAGGTCCCTTCCATCCGACATTGCCACGGCTCTGCGATGAACGGCTCGTTATCGCTCATTGTTAATGCCTCGTTAGGAATCCTCACTGATTGCCACTAATATTATTTCACCCTCTCTGGGCAGGTGGAGAAGGTTCACACGTTCCTGGATTACATCATGGGTGGCCTGCAGATCTACTTCACGGTGAGGTGGCTGGACCCAGTGACCGGGCGGGGAGAGGCTCAGATTGGGGCGTGCACCCCCCCATCTAACCCCTGGGGGGCGCTGCCCCCGTCCCCCTGCAGGTGGCGATTGACTTCACAGCTTCCAACGGCGACCCGCGCAGCGAGCACTCCCTGCATTTCATCAACCCCAAGGAACCCAACGAATACCTCAAAGCGCTGTCAGCCGTGGGCGAGATCTGCCAGGACTACGACAGGTAACAGCGCCCCCTAGGGCAGAGACCCTGCGCTGCCATCCCGGATCCATCCCATCCTGGGTTCCATCCCGGGCTCTCCCGCCCCCCGCCCCCAACATCAAATTACCCACCATGCATTGCCCCAGAATCCCGCTCTTACAGATTACCCACAGAAAGCTAGCCCGTGTTTACCACCAGTCTCTGCTCTCAGAAACTACCCACAATCCTTTGCACCAGATTTCTGCTCTCTCAAATGACCCACAGTCCTTTGCAAGAGTCCCGCTCTTGCAAACTACCCACAATCTTTTGCATCAGATTCCTGCTCTCCCAAGCGACCCACCATCCTTTGCAGCAGCAAATTACCCAAAGTCCTTTGCCCTGGAGCCCCGTGGAAGCAAGTTACCCACAGTCCTTTACAATAGGGTCTGGCTATCTCAAGTTATGCCCCAGGGGCTGGGAGGTACCAGTGCCCTGGGCTGAGAGCCCTGCACTGCCATCCCGGACTCCTGGGTCCCATTTGCTATTCAGGGTTCATTGGCTTGACACCCCCCCCCGCCATCTCTCTCTCTTCCAGCGACAAGAAGTTTCCAGCCTTTGGATTTGGGGCACGGATCCCCCCAAACTACGAGGTACATTTTGGGAAGCTGGGGGTGGGGGAGTAGGTTGGGGGGGCAGTGTTTGTCCTCTCTCTGAGCCAGCGTCTCCTCCTTTCCCAGGTCTCCCATGATTTCGCCATCAACTTCGACCCAGACAACCCGGAGTGTGAATGTAGGAGAATCTCTCTCTCTTCGTTAGCGAGTGTCTTTCGTTAACCTAGGCAATGCTCAACAGACCCCTGACTGAGATGAGCCCAGGAGAACCCTGGAGTTCTGGCGCCCAGTCCCCCTCTGCTTTAACCACTAGACCCCACTCCCCTCCCAGAGCCGGGGACAGAACCCCGGAGTCCTGGCTCCCTGCCCTCCCCTGCTCCAACCACTAGACCCCACTCCCCTCCCAGAGCCGGGGACAGAACCCCGGAGTCCTGGCTCCCAGCCCTCCCTGCTCCAACCACTAGACTGTTGTATCCACCAGGCAAAGTATTAACAACTTCAACAGAACTTTATTTACAGTGCAAGTCTCTTCTCCAAGCTGTAGCTACACACATAGACCCCACTCCCCTCCCCGAGCCGGGGAGAGAACCCAGGAGTTCTGGCTCCCAACCCCCTCTGCTCTAACCACCAGACCCCACTCTCCTCCCGGAGCCAGGGAGAGAACCCAGGAGTCCTGAGCATCTCTCCCCCTGCAGGGATCTCGGGGGTGATCGAGGCCTACAAGCGGTGCCTGCCCCAGATCCAGCTCTACGGCCCCACCAACCTGGCCCCCATCATCAACCGGGTGCTGGCCCCTGCCAGCGAGGAAGAGGGCAGTGGGCATCCCATGGTGAGGGGGAAGGGCAGAGGGGGAGGGGGCAGCAGGGGGGGGCTGGAGGGGCCTGGACGCAGAGGGAGTTCGGGGTCCCCCCACACCGACCTCCCCCTTCCCCCCAGCGGTACCGGGTGCTGCTGGTGCTGACGGACGGGGTGCTGAGCGACATGCCGGCCACGCGGGAAGCCGTCGCCCGAGCCTCGCGCCTGCCCGTCTCCATCATCATTGTGGGGGTGGGGAACACCGACTTCTCCGACATGCGGGCACTGGACGAGGACGGGACCCAGGAGTCCGGGGGGGAGCAGGCCGCCCGCGACATCGTCCAGTTCGTGCCCTTCCGCGAATTCAAGAAGGTGAATGGGAGATGGGCGGGGGGACCCTCCTCCGTCCGGCTCCGCCACGCTCCCTCCTCCCTCCCTCCTCCCTCCGGCTCTGCCACGCTCCCTCCATCCGTCCTCTGTCTGGCTCTGCCATGCTCCCTCCATCCGTCCTCCGTCCGGCTCTGCTGTGCTCCCTCCGTCCGCCCTCCCTCCATCCAGCTTCACCGTGCTCCCTCCTCCGTCCGGCTCCCCCACGCTCCCTCCATCCACTTCTGCTGCGCACCCTCCATCCGCCCTCCTCCGTCTGGCTCTGCCTCGCTCCCTCTGTCCGCCCTCCTCCGTCCGCCTCCGCCACGCTCCCTCCATCCGCCCTCCTCCGTCCGCTTCCACCATGCTCCCTCCATCCGCCCTCCTCCGTCCGGCTCTGCCGCACTCCCTCCTCCGTCCGGCTCCCCCACGCTCCCTCCATCCACCTCTGCTGCGCACCCTCCATCCGCCCTCCTCCGTCTGGCTCTGCCTCGCTCCCTCTGTCCGCCCTCCTCCGTCCGCCTCCACCACACTCCCTCCATCCGCCCTCCTCCGTCCGGCTCTGCCGCACTCCCTCCTCCCTCCCTCCTTCGTCCGGCTCCCCCACGCTCCCTCCATCCGCTCTCCTCCGTCCGGCTCCGCCAAGCTCCCTCCATCCGCCCTCCTCTGTCCGGCTCCCCCATGCTCCTTCCTTCCTCCCTCCTCCGTCCGGCTCTGCCTCACTCCCTCCGTCTCTCTCCCCAGGCCCCGCCAGCAGCGCTGGCCAAGTGCGTGCTGGCCGAGGTCCCCAACCAGGTGGTGGAGTTTTACGGCAGCCGTGGCATCAGCCCTGGCCCTGGCCCCCGAATCTCTCAGCCCCAGTGAGAGCCCCACGGCCCGACCCACAGCCTGACCCAGGGACCCCCCAGGTAAGTGCCCCCTTCTCTCCAGGGGCGGGCAGGGGGCAGCGCCTCTTTTCCAATAACCTCTCTCTCCTCCTTCCTGCCTTTCTCCTTCCCTCCATCCTGCCCCCATCTCTCCCCCCAGGTGCCTCTGTCCTTTACCTCTGCCGACCTCCGGCCCTTTCTCCTGGACCTGCCCCCCCCAGGGGCTCTGAGGACCGACGCAGGGTGAGGGGCTCCCAGCCCCATGGTGCCCTCCCCTGACTGAGGGCGAAGGCTGGACCTGACCCCCCACCACCACCACCGCCTCCATAGGCCCCGTTGTTCTCAGGCCTCTGGCTTCATACCTGGGGTGACTCCCCTCAAATCCTGCACCCAGATCCCCCTATCCCACCCCAATTGCCCCTAATCCCCTGACCTCCCACACCCCAACCCCACCACACCCTGGTCCTCCCACATCCCAAACTGCCCCTCCCTCCCCCAGTGGTGACCCCCATCCCACCCCCAGAGCGATGTCTCCCAGACCCCTCAATAAAGCCACCCGTATGGACACCCCATTCTCCGCCTGGGACATTCATTGCCGGGGGACCGTGCTCAGTGGGGCTGGGAGGGGTCAGAGACTGGACAGGAGACCACAGCACTGTGGGGTGGGAGGTGCTGTGCTGGGGGTGTGGGGCTGGGGGGCAGCTTAGTTACATGGGGGGCTGGGTAGATAGAGGGCGCAGGAAGGGAGGGAGAGAGGGAGGGGGACAGGGGGACGGATGGCAGACACTGTGTAGGCATTGGCCAGACACTCCCA